ATATATATATATATATATATATATATATATATATATATATATAATTGTAGTACTTGCCTGATGCACAATGGATAGTTGTTTAATTCGTACAAGAAAGCATGCATACTGTTAAGACTTAAGAGTATCAAGCAAGTACACAAACTCTAATCATCGAACCTTTGATGACTTTTTGTTACTTACGGTTAAGGAAAACGATGTTAATATTGATATTGAAATGAAAGCGTCTTCTCCTCAACTAACTTCTCCCAAACCATAAGCATTAAAACATATCTCGTGGTGTTACAAACGCCAACAACCCTATGCGAATGCATAAGATTAAACAAGGCGTACAAAACAGCCAAACCTATGCAACCCAGGAAAAAAAGAGTTGAAACACTCGCAACTTACAGATGGAGATAGAATCCGAAGTACTGAGAGAGATGTGGAGGCAACTCTCGAACCACATCATACAATCAGAAGCGTCTTCTCGGGCTTCTTGAACGTTGTGATCTCCCAGACCTTGCAAAATCACAAAAGAACCCAATGATCAAAGGACGCTATGAATATAGTGCCAGTAATACTAATAAGGTCAAATGACTTCAATAAAGTGATATACTTTGTTGTCTGATACACACAAACTTAACTTCCTATGTTAAAAAGAAAGACTACTCTCACTCTTACAATGTGTACTACTTATTAACTAGTAACCTTTGATCCTTGTAAACACTCGACTAAATCACACAAAAAACAGCAAAAAACTCGTACAACTTGGTTATGAGAAAAGAGAGTAGGATGCAAACCTCAAGTTCTTCCTCCTGTAAGATCCTGCATTGGGTCCACTGCTGAAGGCCCAGTCAACGCTGACATTCTGTGTAAGAAGCTCAGCACCATTCATTGCTTTGATAGCATTCTGTGCCTCTTCACTCCTCTCATATTCTATCAAAGCATAGCCCTAAACAAGCAGACAAAATCACGTATAACAACAGCTTTCATATGATATCCAGAAGAAAAATCTTGAGAACAACTCCCATCTGAAATACAGATTAACACATAGAAGTAAGTGAAAGAGGAGTATAGTATCCTCTAGAACATATACCCACTCCAGTCTACACAAGTCTAATAACCATCATGAAAAAAAGAGCTAATGTAAATTAGCTTTTATAAACAGAAAACCAAAAGGCTATTAAATTATCATCAAGAGCCAATACTAGAAACAAAAGGAGCAAACTCCATACCTTGACAAAACCAGTACGGCGATCAAGATTGAGATGTAAACTCTTAATCTCTCCAAATTCACCAAAAGCATTTGTTACATCGTCCTCTTGTGCCTCCTCATGAACTCCGATGACCAGAATAATCCATCCCTCAATGGCTATGTGGACAAGGACATTATCACAACAGTTATAAACCTTTATAACAATCATCAAGCCACACACATTACACTTGTTCTCGCTTGCACAAGCTACGTCAAGTCCAAACCAATGCAGACCAATATAAGAAACAAACTTTCTAAGGTCAAATTGAAACCCTATAACTTTATCTTTTTATTACACAGACAACAACTAATACACAAGAGCTCTAAACTTTATTATCATCAACAAGTAACACACTTTACACTTGTTCAAGCTCGAACAAATCAATTACAAACCAATCTAATAAACAAGTTTTCTAGGTCAAACCTAAACCCTAGAACAAATCAGTGTCACAAATCAATCAAGCAAGCTCGCATAATAGACGAGTAAACTAGATAAGAGCAAGAGATTGAGAAATGAATTACATCGCTGAGGGCCAGGACCGCCATCGGAACCTAGAGACTCGAAATCGCGGGAGGAAAGGCGGCGCTGGCGATCAGAATCTTTGTCCTCGCGAAACCCACGGCCTTTGGTCTTCTTATTCGCTGAATCGCCCGCGATAGCTGACCTAAGCCTCGGATGCGCAGCGCGTGGTGACACGTCAGCTGCTCCTGCATCTTCGTCCATAAGGCCATCCTCTTCTGGCTCAAAATCGATTGCTTCGGATTCTATGTTCGCCATTACTGCTGTCCACGTCGTCTATCGAATCTCTTACCGGCTTTTTCTACTATCTAGTACAGACCAAAGTCTTGTGTTAGAGGGACGGAGGTATATATTATTTTGCCACTGGTTGTTCTATTGGAATGTAAATTGGGCCTATTAGGGCTGGCCACAAATTTAATTATTAGTATTTGTTCTCATCAAGTAATCTATTTAAACTATTTGTAAGTACAAAATAAATATTAAATATTAAATCAAATTAATTACTTGATGTTGTTTTTTTTATTATTTGTATTTGTTAATGAATAAATATATAGTTACTTAAATCATAATAAAATAATCCATTTCTATTTCCATTTCCATAAGTACATAAACTATAAGTGATATATTTATATATAAGCATCTTTAAATTTTTTTCTTTTTTACATAGTCTATTTTCTGAATGACTTATATACAAGAAAAGAATGACATATTATTTATTGAATAAATTTATTTAACTTTTCATTTTAATGAATTGTCAAATAGTTTACCAATAATTATGAAAGAATTTGTAAGTAATTTACAAGTAACAAGTATTAAAACAAACCAAGTAACTTACAAGTCCGTCAATTTTTTTGTAAGTACTTGAAACTGCAAGCACTCGTCTTTAACAAACCAAATACAAGTCAAAATATTTACTACTCGTACAAACTAAGCCAAGTACTAAGTATATCAAAAATACCGAGTACTCGGCTTGTACCCACCCCTAGAGCCTATGGACATGTTTTGTATTTAGCCTTTAATCTTTCTTTTTCAAATCAAGGTTTTGATTGCCAGAACATTATCATTAGCATTATGCTATATATCATCTAATTAACATTTACCAAAAAAACATTTAAAGTATTTACCAAATGCTAATATTCTCCAAATGTTATTTGATCTTACATATAGCTTTTCAGAGAGTATTTGCAGTTATAATATATAAAACTTAAAAACATTATACATTATTAATTTATATTTAGTTAATGATATAAATAATATCTTAATATTCATTTTTATATTTTTCAAAATAAAATTTCCAATAATATATTTTAACTTTTTCTTAAAATAAAAATATTTTACATTGAAAATATAATATAATATATATAATTAGACATATGGTTTATTACTTTTAATAAAAACATATCATAATATATATTTATATATTATAGATATAAACATATAAAGAAATATATATATATATATATATATATATATTTCTTAAACACTAATAAATAAATATATAATATATACTAATATTTATGATAATTTTATATATGAATCATTTACTGCTCTACCAATAAATAGATAATGAAAATTTATATATAAATTATATATAATTCATTTATTTAATAATATTAATATTTTTGTTTATATCCCAAAAAATTAAAATGTTAAAAATAAATTTTACATTTTTAAAATAATAATATTTCACATATAAACTATAATATTATTTATATAAATGACTAAGATTTATTATTTTTAAAAACCAAATATTATTAATATGTTATATAAATATATAAAAATTATTTTAAAATAAATATATTACTACACTAACTATTATGATAATTTTAAAATTGTATATTGTTACTGTTCTGCCAATCACTTTATTAAAAACTTTAATGAAAGTATACAACTTCTGCATCATACTGATTCCATAGCATACTGTTATTGTTTTATCACCTGTTATACCAATCGAGACCTCAACTATCTGTTTCTAGGGAATTGAGCTCTATATACAAAAAAAAATACAAATCCATCCTATAACTGAAATTCCCCTCTATCACCTACTTTTTCTTCCTATTTCTTTCTACTCTCTCTCCCAAATTGTTTTAAAAAGTTTCTTGGTTATTTAGCAAACCCCCCCCCCCCCCTTTTTTCTAAGAATATTGTAGCTCCATATAAAAAATGTCATAATTTGCAAGATAAAATGAATAGTAGAAAAATATGTCTGAAATGACAGGTATGCAACTATACTATACCATATACTAAATCAAGTTGCTCTTGACCACTATATTCATCATTCCTTGAAAAACCTAAAACAAAAATGGCGAATAATTTGTAGTTGTCTTTCTTGAGTGATATAAAACTGAGAAATACTGCATGTCGCATCCAAGTCAAAATCCTTCATACATGGAGACATTTCATGAAAGACATAGGGGAGACCATGGAACTAATCCTTTGTGATGCAAATGTAAGTTTATCGTTTGTATAGATTTATGATTTAGATATCTTAATTTTGTAAAAATTTAACCTAAATGATAATTTTTTTTTTTGTTTATATAGGGTACTAAGATTTATACCCCATGTAACAAGACATACATTCCTGAATTGGCAAAACATATTTGTGTTGGAGTATGGAGAAAAATTGATCGTTTCAGTGTGTCTGCCGCTGGTGGAGCATACAAATCAACTCAGCATAAATATCGCATAGCTTTTAATGGCATCACCAAAATCACCAATTCTACACACCGTGATGACAACATGTTTCTCGATCTGGTTGATTTCAAAACCATAGAAAGTATCACATATACAAGCTTCCTTATTGGTCAGTTTTCTCCCATTTTTATAAATTATCTTCATTGTTGTGTATCTATCTAACACGAGTATATTTTTATCTAGATGTTATTGGACAAGTTCAATACTTGGGTGATTTTGAAACCATAGGGTGTAGTGGTGGGAAACAAAGGAATAAATTGGAGTTTAGTCTCGTGAACATTTCGTAAGTTTTATATATTTAATATAAAAGATATATGCCTATAAACATATTGATTTATAACTTGATATGCAATTTTATTAGTGGTCATAAATTAGCTTGCTGCTTTTGGGGTAGATTTGCTGAAAATCTTCATACAGCTAGCCAAGAAATAGAAGACATGGTGATAGTCTAAAAACGAGGTAAATTATTATCTAATAACGAGTGAGATATCGGAAAATTTTCCCCATTCATCCCAAACAAACGAGGTAAATTATTATCTATGTCTTATGCTTATTACAAATCATTGAAGTAATATTTATCATATGGCCTTAATGTGTAGGATCCCATGTTACTTGAAGGTCTGAGTGATTACATGATTTCTACTCCTGCTTCGAAGCGCAGTAGAGGATAAGGAAGCACCCGAGCTTCATTCTACCTCTAAAAAGTCGTACATCAAACCGATTAAAATGGAGAATCCCAAAAATTGATAACATTGGATCCGTTGGATGAAGTTCATGTTGTTGTTTTGATTTATTTTTCAGAATCCTCATTTCGTTTTCCTTTAAGTTTTTTTTTGAAAGTCACTTTATTCATGTCAACTGTTTTTGGGACTTATTGGGTTTTGTTATCACCCAATAATTTTTATTTTTTAATAATATTTGCTTTTTCTTGACGATTTATTGACTCATCTAGTTATATGAAAATACATATTTTTGTATAAAACAGATCAATATACTATGATATAATAAACGAAAATCTATTTATACTATATTTGCTGCATATTGAAACAGAAAATGAGATACTTGGAGTAACAAAACCCATTTGATATAATAATCTTGCAATATTTAAATTCTTCAACTTATATACTTGGAGTTACCTTTGACTCTCATAAAAAAATGGTTTTCGAGTTACCTTTGACTCTCATGCACAACTTTTTCTCTCATAAAACAAGATAAGGTTGATTTATCTCATTTTACTCTTACTGTTTAATTTTGGAAAATATTCGTAAATATATTATAATTGGTCATACTGGGAATATATAATTGTTGAGTATAAATGAATACTACCTATACTAGATCCAATGTTATATCATCATAAAACACATTTCCTAAAAATAGCAAATTATTCACTCCCACAGTTAATGGCGTATATCTATCCAATATTCTAAAATGTATTTATTAAACATATTTCCTAAAAATAGGAAAATATAATCTTTGAGTATATTGATTAGTTATAACCAATCTTAGACATAACCTCCTATAATATTGAAGAAAATTATAACAGTTACATTTCATCCACTATAAAGGTCAAAAGTTAAAAGTATAAAGGTTTAGGTTTCATCCCATTTTCATGCCTTCATCGATATCATCATTGCTGCTTCTCTGACTAACGAGAACATAAATATCAATGGGAGACCACAGAGTGAGACATCTGATCAGAAAAGAAAGAGAATCTCTTCTTTCTAACAAGACTCTGAAGTTAATAACACTCCTCAAGTTAGGCAAAAGAACTCTGGTGTTTTGTCCTTGAAGAGAGTTTTCAGTACCATTTTGGGTGATATTACTAATACATTTCAGTCTTCACCAACTACCTCACAATCAGAAGTCTATAATCATCCTTTATCCGGATCACACTCCATCAATGATTCGACTGGTTCTATTTCTTCCCTTCTTGTAATGGTTAGACATTTCATTTTCCTATTTCTTACATCTACCTATTTAACCTAACTTACCAGTCGAGGCTAGAGGATATAGAAAAAGTGATTGAGGTCAAAACATAGATCCAAGACATCAGGTAAGGTTTATATCTATATGTGGGAACCGAAATCCACACTGTTGAATTTCCGTCAAATATGGAAACTTAGGGAAAACCCTAATTTTCCCGAGGTCCTGGATCTCTGCGGAAATCACTAAAACAAACGAAATCAATAGAATATGGATGAACAACGAAGAACAGAGAAGGAAGAATTTGCATGAAAGTTTTTTACTGAATAAGAGATCGACAACTTTTTACAAAAGAGAATTGCAGAACTTAGACGTCAAAACGTTCTAAGGATCCGGCTTGCTAGTCTAAACGCTAAGTTCTAAATTTCTAAGCTAACAACCGCCTCTCTAGGTCTGATTTTCGTCCCCTTGCTTTTTCCGTGTGCCTCTTGCTTATATACTCCTCTTCTAGGCGGTTTAGTCTTTCCATTTCGCCTGAATTCGAGTTTATCGGGAATCTTCCATTTATCTCGATCCTTCATTTTTTCCCGCATAAATCTTCTATTTATCTTTAAACTTGCCATTTATCTTCAAAATTGACATTTATCTTCCTTCTGCGAGTAAACCATCAAAACGTTATCGTATCTTCGGGTTAGATTTCGTTAAGA